CTCCCTGGACTCCAACCTGGACCCAGGGTCCACCGGCCCTTACTGCCTGCCGCATGGGGCTATGGTCCTCCCAGAAAGGACATTACTGAGAAAACTATCCAGCCTTTACATGGATTGTAACAGGTAGTTTGAATCGGAAGCTGTTAGAATGCAGATAGTACCAAAAACTGATGGGATCAGTGTACATAGGGAGACAAAATTGCCACAGTGGTAATAGGCGGGAGGAAGGGGAACAAAAACTTGGATGGGGTGAGAGGCTGACAAATGACAGTAAGGGATACATGCAAGACGTCCTCGGCCTAACACCAAGGAAGTTGGTAAATGGAAGTGGAAAAGTAAAGCACCGGAGAAAATACAGGGAGCGTGTTTGGGGGGGGGGGGRGGATATGTAGGGGGCTTGTAGGAGTTAGAATGGTAGGATGGGAGGAGTAGGGGAAACAATTGGTGGCTGGCAAGTCACGGCGTCAAGGGTGATGTCTGGGTAGGCGGCTCATTGCTGTCATTTTGCTGCCTCATTTTTCTTTCTCGGACTTTTTGTATCAAATTCCTTCTGCTTGCCGGGGATAAGCAACTGGACTGGTGCTCCCCACAACAGAAGGGGCTGTGTGTGTGGTTTGGAAAGGGTGGGGGGGAACAAAACTGTCAAGCATTGGTTTACTGAAAAGCCTGGGGATTTAAACCCAACACTGCAAACAATCACACTCCAACTGAGGAATGTGGTCTGGCTGCTCCTTAGGACGGCAGGGGAATCATGGAGGGGGGTAACTGAGCGGCACCTGGCTTATGCATCGAGGGAACCACCGGAGTTGGTAGACCTGTGCCTTGTCAGCACGGGGGGAGAATGGAGATCAGATGAGGAGATGATTAGCAAGCTGCCATGGCGCCCTCTGGGACATCCGTTACAATTGGAACGATACCGAGAAGATTAGCATGGCCCCTGCGCAAGGATGACACGCATAAATCAAGAAATGGTCCAAATTAAAAAAAGAAGAAAAAGAAAAAACGCAAGCTGCCATGGCAGACCAAACGGCCACAGCGGCTGCGAGAGATGAGAGAGGCAATCCCGACCCAACGTGGAATTGTTAAAAAAGCTGGCCTGCAGGAGGGGGCGTGGGTGAAGAGGAAGGGCGAGTTTATCGCACGGGTGGTCTACAGGATTGAGGGCGTACGGGAAGGGGAGCCACTGGAAATCACGGAATGGGTGGTTAGCTCGGGGTACGACGGGCTAGGCCCCCCGCTAGTTGGGGCAGGGCAAGATGGAGTACCCTGGCCCTGCCAGATCGACTCGTTCATGGTGGAGAAAGTGTCATAGTTGGGGCAGGGCAAGATGGAGTACCCTGGCCCTGCCAGATCGACTCGTTCATGGTGGAGAAAGTGTCAATGTGTAAGGGAGGTAAATTAGGTGATGAGGACGAGATGCGAACGGGTAGTAGACCCACAGGAGTGGTACCTTCCCCCTCGGAACTACAACAAGACAAAGATTCCTCTCCAGCAGCTCGCCAACAACAGTATCTATCGCTCATTACTTCCAAAGGTGGATATAGCTACAGAGCTGCAAGACCGATGGGCTAAGAGAGATTGGCTGGGTCCCTCTCGTGCGGATGGCTAGATGGGCGTATCGAAGATGGAGGGAGCAATGCGCGATACTGAGGTCCCTATCGGACAAAAAACAGTCCGTATTGCTGTGGCTGATCTACCACCTCGCCATCCCGATGGCACAATGGCTGGCCACCAAGAG